CGCCCCCCCGCCACGAGTTTCACTTCGCCGAGACTTTCCTTTTATTTTTTTTTTCCTTAACATTCCTCCCCCGCTTTTCCTCCATGGCCCCAGGCAGCATCCGACCGTCCCCGCTTCCTCCCGGCTCTCCCGCCCGGCCTCTTCCTTCCTTCCTTCCTTCTTTCCTTCCTCCCTTGGCTTTCCGGAGGGAGATGCCCGGGCAGGGCRGCAGGGAGGGAGGATGGGCACCGGGAGCAAGGATAGCGGAGCTGGGGTGCATCTCGTCCTGGGATAGGGAGCAGGGAGCRGAGCTGCTGCCAGGCCCTGCGCATTGGGAAGCTGCTTGGGGAGAGACAGGGGCTTGGGAGCTGCCTCTCCCACCCGACGTTCCCCTGTGAGCCCAGCGCCAGCTCCAGCACCCAGCAAAGGCCCCGCAGGAGACACGTTTTCCAGCTCAATGGGGATGGATGCAGTGTCTCCGGGCTGGGATGCTGGGTGGGGGACCCCAGGGGCACTGGGGCCAGGGGCTCTTTGTTCTCCAGACAACAAGTCACAGGCGGCAGGAGCCTGCACAGCCCTGGATTGAATCGCAGCTCACGGAGCCCCCARACGCCCAGAACCGAGGGCTGTGGGTGCCGAAGGGGCGTCCGCAATCCCTGAGCCATGGCCCCGCACCGGGAGCTCCCGTRCAGCATTCCTGCCATTCTGCAGGCTGCTGGGAGGCATGTGCGGCCGCTCCAGGGAAATGCCGGGCATTGCTGGGATTGCAGCCCTCCGCGGGGTCGGGGGCTCCGCTCCGCGCAGCCACAGCTCCCAATGCGCCTTCCCACTCCCCCGGCACCATCAAAGCAGGGCTGGGCAGCCCAGGAGGCTCCCGCTGCCCTCTCGCTTCGCACGGCTGGGCTGACAGCAGTCAAAGGACAGGGACAGGGTCCTGAGCACACACTGAACCCCAGCAAGGAGCTGTCCCCTGCTTGCACAGACCCCSCAATGGCAGATGCCGCAGGTCCCCAGTGTCCTCCCTGCAGCACGGCCCATCCCTGCCCTGAAGCATCCCCAGGCAGCGCCCGCCCCAAGCCCGGGCTGGAGCGAGTGGCCGGTTGGACTGGCTGGGTGGCAGCTGTGGCCCCAGGGACCTGCCTGAGCACCCCAGCTTGTCCCATCAGCTGCCTCTGCTCCAGCAGGAAAACCACGGGAAGGGGAAGAGTGGGAGACAAATCCGTGCTGCTTCCTTTGTCACGCCGAGGGCCACGCAGCCGTCCCGGCCAGCTCTCCCGCGGGAGCCTCTGCTCCAAGCTGCCGTGGCCCCGGGCGGCCGCTCCGGCGTGTCCCGGCAGGCTGAGCTGCGGAGCCGGAGCAGCGAGGCAGGTCGGGGCACGGCTGCCGGGAGAGGGGGGGTTTCGCTCTCCTCTTGCCTGCCAAAAGCAGGGGAAAAGGGAAAAAGCAGCCTGCAGCTCCACGGGGATCGGTAGGTTTTGGGTGCTGGAGAAACGCAGTGTGGATGCCCCGGCACAGCCCGGGAAAGGTCAGGCCACGCTGGCCGGGGCCAATTCCCCCCGGGAATGCGAGCTGGCTTGGCGGCCGCCCAGCGCGCTTGTGCACAGGAGTGTCCTAAATACAGGGCCAAGCAGGAGCAAGGGGGAACGGCGCGAGCTCCCGGCATGCTCCGGCATGGCGCATGGCACAGCATGCACGGCACGGCGCACGGCACGGCGCACGGCACGGCGCACGGCACGGCGCATGGCACAGCATGCACGGCACGGCGCACGGCACGGCGCACGGCACGGCGCACGGCACGGCGCACGGCATGGCACACGGCACGGCGCACGGCACGGCGCATGGCACAGCATGCACGGCACAGCATGCACGGCACGGCGCATGGCACAGCACACGGCACGGCGTGCATGGTGCACGGCACGGCACGGCGCGCACGCAAGCGCGGCCGCAGCCTGCAGAGCCCTCTGCCGGCTCCCTTCCCCACGGCTCCTCCGTGCAACCCCACGCATTAACAGCGCCGAGGGGATTCGCTTCCTTGCATTCATTTCAATCCGTTTCTCTCCGCTCCTGCCYGGCGTTACCCTGCGCTTCGGTACGAAGCTGCCGCTGCGCGAGCGGGACTGCGCTCCTGGCACAGCACGGGATCCCATTTCTCTCCCCGTTTCTGCCAGGAAACTGAGCCCAGCTGTGGCCCCGGCCGGCGGGAGCGTCGCTAACCCCGGCGCGCAGCRCGGATAACGTCACGCTCTGGGCAAGAATAAAGGACAGAGGGACAGGCAGCTGCCGGGGCTGACACCGCCACGACGCGCTGGCTCTGCAGTAACCCCCCCGCTGCAGACAGCAAATCCCCACGGGAATAGGAGGGGAGATGGAGCCAGGGGGTCTTTCCAACTGTCCCCATCAGCTGGTATGTAAAATTCCACTCAAAACACAGAGCGGACACTGAGGGGTCTCAGGGATGCCGCTCTGACCCAGCAGGTTGGCCCGATGCCCTCCTCTCATCCATCCCAGCAGCTCCAGAGCTGCTGCCTTCCCGCTCCTGGCGGGCCTGGGAAGCGGCGTTGCTCCCAGCTGAGCCTGGCCTAGCAAAGAACAGGGCTGGGGGAGGGAGGGAAGGGCAAACCCTAATCCCTCCGCACAGCGAGCTGAGATTAGGGCCAGAAAAATGAGGTTTTAATAGGATTTTCTAGGAAGAGAGAGTTGTGTTGAGATAATAACCATTTTTCGGCCCTTCTAGGGAAAGTGCCTCCCTGCTCCTCCATGCAGTGTGTTCCAGCTGCTGGAGGGAAAGGGCAGGATGGATCCTAGTCCTGCATTCCTGATCCAGGATGGCACGAGCTCAGGTTTCAGGGCTAAGATGGCATTTGGGGCATTTGGGGGAGTAGGGATGCTCAGGCCAGGAGCAGGGATGCTCCAGGGAGCAGGGATGCTCCATCCAAGAGCAGGGATGCTCCTGGGAGCGGGGAAGCTGTGGAGCAGGATGGCGCAGGTGAGAGCCCGGCCGGATTAACGCTCTGCAGGAGAAAGGATTTTAATTCTCATTAACCCAAACAGCGGCTGAAGAGCTTTGCAGCTCAGCGGGGATTCGGGGAGCGCCTGTTGCTCTGCACACACCAGCAAGTGCCCGTCCCCGGGCACCAGGCGGGCTGGGAGCGGACACGCATCCCACCGGGAAACAGGAGTGCTGTAACCACCCAGGAACAACCTGGTGTCAGCAGCACCCGACCCCGCATCCGAACCCCCCCTCCTTTGGGAAGGAGGAACGGAGCCGGACACAAGCATGGGCCGCTCAGCAGGGCTGGGGGCAGCGCCGCGGATGAATGGAGCCGCACACGGAGCAGCACAAGGAGCAGCACACGGAGCCGCACACGGAGCAGCACACGGAGCAGCACACGGAGCAGCACACGGAGCAGCACAAGGAGCAGCACACAGAGCAGCACACGGAGCAGCACACGGAGCAGCACACAGAGCAGCACACGGAGCAGCACACGGAGCAGCACACGGAGCCGCACACGGAGCAGCAAAGCGGCTCTCTGACACTGCTCCAGCTGCAGCCTGGGTGTTAACACAGGGAAGGAAGCGGCCGGGTTCCTTCCCAACACAAACTTTCATCCTGACAGCGTCTTCTCGGGAGCCTTTTTGGCAGCCAGGAGGATGAGGATCACCAGCTAAGGAACCTCGGTCCCTTTCCCGACCTTGCCATGCCGCCAGTCTTGGGGCACAGGGGGATGCTCGGGCTTTCCGGGAGCATCACATTGAAATCCACAGCCTGTGGATCCCATCCTCTGCAGTCTTGGAGAACCCACGGAGCCTCCACACAGGGCAGCAGCCTCCTCTCCGCAGCCAGCTCCTCCAGGTCCATGGGTGCTCTAAGGGCCAGGGCGAGCGCAGGTGCCCTCCCCGGCGCCCCAGGTCCCAGGCTGGYGCATCCCAGCACCGAGTCCAGAAGGAACCAAGCCGGAATTTTGTCCCAGGGCAGCGGGACGGGGCCCTGGGGCCAGGGCAGGAGCTGAGGGGCTGCCTCCTCCTCCTCCTCGCGGCAGCCACCCTAGAAAAGTAACAGGAGCCCATTTCCTGTTTTTCCCATGGAAACCCACAAATAGAAGCTGGCCTCGTTATTGTGATTTTTGGGTCTCTCTCTTTTTTTTTTTTTTTCTTTTCAGCGGGGCTAACAATGAGCCATTTCCTCCGGCAGCTCCGAGAGGCACCTTGCGCTCGGCTCCTGTTGGTCCGCGGCACCACGGCGGAAAATCCGAGGTCAGAGCAAAGGCTGCCGGCCGCCCCCATGGCCTGCGCCAACGGGGACCCCCGCAGCACCCATTGCCCCTCGGGGCTCGCACGGGGCCCCGGTGGTCACAGCACCCATTGCCCCTCGGGGCTCGCAMGGGGCCCCGGTCGCGAGCGTCGAGCGCGTTTTTGCAGCCCACGCACCCCCCTGCACCGCCTGCCCGTCCCGCCTGGCGCCAGCTGCACGGCCACAATAGCGCCTTGTCCCCGGTGCCACCCGCCCCGCGCGCTGCCCATCGGGAGCCCACTCGGCTCYGGCCGCGCCTGGGAGCTGCATCCCGAGGATGCTCCGGCAAGCCGGGCTGGGCCATGCAGCACGGAGTTGGGAGCAGCATCCTCGTCCCGCGCAGCCTCTCGCCTGCTTCGCAGCTTCGTTTTGCTCCTCTCTGATGACTCAGGCCGCGGTTTCCGCTCCTTCCCCTGGGGGGGTTCGTGGCCCGGCTGCCCCCGCGGCTCCCAGGGCTCATTTTCCCCTTGCTCAGCCCTTGGAGCCGTGCGCGGGGGAGCCACGGAGCCCCTGCCATCCCCATCCTGCCGCTCCGACACGGCGGAAGCCGCCCCGACGCCCCCCATTCCTGCTAAACCGCCTCTCCCGGGCCACGTCCTCCAGCCGCGGGGAATTCAGTTGCATCAGGTGCTGGCCCTGCGGAGCCGCCGGGTTTCGCACGGAGCAGGAGGAACCCGCCCGGCACCGAGCCCCACGGCAAAGGTGCCCCCGCGCCAGCGCCCAGGCTCCCACTGCCCCGCGCTCCGCACCCCGCGGTGCCCCGGAAACCCAGCCGGATTTGCCAGGGCCACAGGGGAGCCAGGTGGATGTTTTCCAATTTGAATGATTAAAATAGGTCGCTTATCTCCATTTCTTTTTAAAATCAGGTCTTGCTGCCTGCTAAAGACAAGCCTGGTTTATTAATGGGACGGCACCAACCTGAAACCTGATCTTATTTTTTCCCTTTAATGAGAATTAAAGCCTGTTCTAGAGGCTCAGCAGCTCCCAGGGATGATTCCCCAGCCTTTTCCTTTTGCTCTTTGCACAAAGCGTGGGAGACCTGGCCCACCGGGGCAGTCCCTGCTCCAAGTAGCCCTATCCCACAGCAACTCGCACCGTTTGGGGGTTTCTTTGCATTTTTGTCACCGTGCAGCGCAGGTGACAAACGGGCTGGGGACCCGCTGCATCCGCATGGCGCCATCCCCTAAAATGACCACCCAAAGGCGAGCAGAGGTGCCAGGGTGACATTGGCACGGGGGGGCGGGAGCGGAGCGCGCGGCCGGGCTGGGTGCCCGAGGTTTGGCCGGAGGCAGCAGGCCGGCCGGGCCGGCAGGAGCCCCGCGCCGCCTCCGCCCGCTCCGCAGCCGCCGCTGCCGCAGCAGCAACCCCAAGCACCAGCTTTTCCTGTCCTGCAAGTTCAAGGTTCAGAAAGGAAAAGAAAAAAATAATAAGTAGCCAAAGCGCAAGAGCCCCGATGTGCYGGGCGGCCATGGCACGCGGCGGCACCAGCTTCGCGCCGTGGGTTTGCACAGCGCTGTCCAGAGGGGAGGCAACTCGAGGGCGACTGTAGGGGGCAAAACCCCATCCCCTCTRCTCCTAAAACTGCAGCAGGACAAAGGGCCAGGATTTAAAAGCCTCGAAAACTCTCCGAATATCCCCCGCCAGCGCACACTGGGGCAGAGTCAGCAGCGAGGAATGCATCAAGGAGCCGCAGCCGCCACATGGGCAGCGCTGCCGGCCCCGCGACATCGCCCTGGCCCCAATTAAGGCTGAGGCCGGTGATTAGAGGCAGCGCAGGAGCCAGAGCAGCCAAGTTCAAATAAGCAGGAGCCGGGGAACACAGGCCCGATTCAGCTGCGGGGCGAGGACGTGCGGGCGCCGCCGAAGCAGCCGGCGCCGTGCCAGGCTGCCGCCCGCATCCCGCTGCGCCCGGCGCCCCGAGCARAGCGCCTGCCCCTCGCCAGCCCCGCGGCCGCGCACGGAGCCGGGGGGAGAGCGCAAGGAGCGCGGCGAGCGGAGCCGGGCGCCTGTTTGTSGGGCGGGAGCTCCCGGGGGAGCTGCTGGGCTCGTAGGGACGGGCAGCCCCCAGCCTGCAGCGGGGCCAGGGCGCGGGGGCCTCGGGGGCGGCCACCGGCTCCGCCGCGTGGACGGGGACCCTGGGGCGTTGGGGCCTCGCGTGGCCGCTCGCTCCGGCCGTGACGCCACCCTCAGTGGGTGCCCAGGAACGAGGCGCCATGGCTGGCGCTGCCTGCCTGATCCAACGGCTTCGGATGAGCCCCACGTGCTGCTCACTTCCAACACCCCCCTGATCTTGGTACCAGCCCCCGAGACATCAGCTTTTCCCAATCCCAGTGACATCGCTGAGGTCCTGACAGGCTCCCAAGGAGCCCAGCATCACCAGAGCGCCTGCCACCCCTCTGTCACCGCACTGCAGCTGCAGGCCATTAGCCAGGCCCCCAAATGCCCCAAATCCCGCCATGCTGCTGGCCCCAGTGCCAGCCCACGGTCGCACCCCGAGCCACCGTGCCAGCTCCCCCGGCAGATCCGGCTCCCGCCGCGTCCGCGTCGCTTCCGCCTGCTCGTCCAGCCCGGCAGCCAGGCCCTCCCGTTTCCCCCCCGAGCCCCCAGCATCCCTTAACCCTGTCCCCGCCACGCCCGAAGCTCCCAGTGCCACCAGCCCCRCCAGCGCCACGTCCCCAGCGCTCCCGTGCCGCAGCCTCCCCGGGTGTCCCGCTCCGCGCGCTCCCGCCGGTGCCGCTCACCGCGGCGCTGGGCGGCGGGATCCCGACCAGGCAGAAGGCGATGCCATTCATGGGGGCGCGCGGGGCCCGGCCCGGCGGCGCGGCGCGGCTCGGTTCGGTTCGGTTCGGCTCCGCTCGCTTTGGCGCGGCGCGGGCTCGGCCGGCCCCGGCCGCGGCCCCGGCCCCGGTCCCGGCTGCGGCTCCGCCTCCCGCGGGCGGCGGCGGCGGGAGGGGCGCGGCAGGGACCGCCCCGGCGGGCGGCACCGCAGCGGCCCGGCCCGGCACCGGGGCTGGCACGGGCGGCTCCGGAACCGGCACCGCCTCCGGCACCGCCGCGGGCCCCGCGAGCGGCGCCAGCGCTGGCACCAACGGGATGGAGCTGGCCCGAGCAGGGGACACAGCAGGAGCAGTATCGGTACTGGGACCAGTACCAGGGCTGGCACAGGCGGGGGGCACACTGGAACCAGTACCAGGTGCTGACACAAGGCCAATTGGATCAGTACTGGGGCTCACAGAAGTCATAGTGGGACCAAGGGCTSGTTCAGGCAGGAGACTGAACAGGGACAGACCTGGAACCAACAGAGACTGGGACGGAGAGGGGACACCTGGGAGTGGGGTGGACAAGGACCAAAACAGGGACTGGGACAGGCAGAGGCAGAGAATGGGACCGGGACAGGCAGAGACTGGGACCAGAGCAGACAGGGGACACCCAAMGACCAGGGTAGGATTAGTCAGGACAGAGGGACAAGGAAAGAGAGCAGAACAGACAGGGACAGGCACAGAGGGAAGTGACATGGCAGGACAGTGGGACCGGGACAACAGGACAGAGAAAGGCCCAGGACAGSTAACAGCAGGGCTGGAAGAGGATGACTCCGGACAGACAAACGGGCAGGAAATRCCAGGCCAGAGGGCTGGGAAGGGCCGGAGCAGCGGGGCTGGCACAGACGGACATGAAGACGGGAAACAGCCAGGCTGGGGCTGAGGGCAGGACAAAGGCTGACCCGGAGCGAGGGCGAAAGGAAACGGGAGGCACAAGGACAGGAAACAGCCGCAAAGCCGGACGGGGCCGGCGCGGCGGGCAGGGCGTGGAGGCGGCAGAGACCACGTTGTCACGGGGGCCGCCTGGCAGAGCTGCCTCCCGCGACGTCTCCCGCACCCAATGCTCCCCGTCTGGGTCAACACGGATTTCCTTAGAGCGCTCGGGAAAACCCAGCAAGGGCAGGAAAATAATAAATGCCGGAGCCGTCGTCACGCAGCTCGGCCGGCTGGGATGAGCGCCACGGAGCAGCGCCGGGCTCTGGCCCCACCGCTCCAAGAGCGACTCCCGTCTCCGGGGTGTCCCGGGGTTATCCCGGGCACCGCTCCCCTTCGCACGCGTCGCGCGCAGCCACAGCAAAGCAACCACAGGCAAATCACGGCGTCAGCAGCATCCCGGGCGCTGGAAACGCCGCTGGTGCCGCCAGGGCGGAGCACTGGCCGGCAGCGGGAGTGGGAAGGGCGCCGCAGGAACACAGCGGGAATGCTGCGGGAATGCTGCCAGGCGGAGCGAGTGGGAATGGTGCTGGCTGGAGGGAGCAGGCAGCGCGTGGGTCCTTGTGGCCCCACGGGAAGCATCCTGGGAGCTGCTGGTGGAGCCTCGTGTGGGACACGGAGCAGGGACTGCCCTGAGCACGATTCTTTTCCAGGCTGGGAACTTGCGGGAAGCATCCGGCATCATGTTCCCCCCACTGCTGGCACTAGACCCTTCGGATGCTCAAGCTCCGGCCATACAACCCAGCACCGAAAATGCAGCCGGGTAGTGGCCACGAGTCCCAACATCCCAGCTCTGACTCGTATTTGCCAGGTATCCAGCTGGATGCCTCCCGGGGGGACGGTCCTGGGACACACAGCGGAAGAGAAGGGCAATGCCAGGGGCCGGAGCAGGGTTCAGGCAGCTCCCATCCTCAGGATCTAGCCTGGCTGCAGCCGGCGGGAACAGGCGGGCAGGAGCAACAGGATGTCTCCTATGCGGAGAGCTGGGCAGGGAGAAGAGGAGGGAAGGCCGGGAAGGAGCCGGGCGTGCGGCCGCGGCGCTGGCAGGCTGCCCTCTCCGCGCCCGGCCACAGGGATTTGGCAGCCCGTGCGGCTCCTCCGCTCCGGAGCGGCTTTCCAGGAAAGCTGGCAGCCCAGCCCGACTGCCGGCACCAAGAAGCGCCCGGACGCGACCAGCACCCGCAGCGCTCCCGTCCTCTCGCCTTGCGCGCGATCCCAGCGGATGGTCGGAGGATGCCGAGCTGGGAGGAGAAGGAGCAGCGAATGCTCCATCCTCTCCTCTGTTTTGTCTCACTGCCGGCCTTATCCCAGCCCCAAGGCTCCCCTTCGCCACCTCCCCAGGGATACCTGGCTGTCCCCGTCTTACCCCCCCATCCTGGGCCATTGCAAAGACAACATCCCCCAAATCACCACTGCAGCCCCAAAGGTGTCCAACCTGCCCAGGGCACCGTCCCCTTCTGCCACAACCTGCTGCCCATTCCAACGGGCACAAATGGAGGCCGCAAAGCAGTCGGAGCCGCATCCCGGCGCGGGAGCCRCGGGCGCCGCAGACAAAGAGCCGCGCGGGGCCCTTCCCTGACCTCCTTTTGCCGTCCCCGCTGCAGACGCTCCGCGGGGCGGCAGCGCAGCCCCGGAGGCCGCACGGACCCTCCGGACGGCGCCTCTGGGGACGCGCCGCGGTGGCGGCGCCCGGCCCTGGTGCTCAGCAGCGTCCCCAAGGCGCCGGGAGCCGCCAGCACCCGAGAGCTCCTCCACGCCACCGCGCGAAGCCATTTTGAGCCGCCCGCGAGCGCCGAAAGGGTTACGGCCCCAGACCCCTCCTTCGCCGCCAGCTGCTCCGGCCCTGGATAAACAAGAGCAGCCTGGAGCGGCTGGAGCGGGAGAGCAGATGGGGGGAGCACGGGGTGGGCGGCAGCCCCCGTCGCAGCCCCCCGCTCGGCGCAGGCAGCGTGGAGCGGGCAGGGGGGCTCCTGCACGGATGGGCATCCGTCCCCTGCGCTGGGATGGGTGGTGGTCCCTGGTGGCCTCGGGGACGCGGGCACCGCGGATGTGTGCGCGGCGCCCGGCGCAGCGGCAGGGCCAGGCACGAAGGCGGCAGCTGCGTCGGGAGCTCCTCTGCATTGCAGCTGGGTGCGCGTGGAGGGCGATTCTCCCGGCGGGAAGCGGCCCCCCAGGCTGGGAGGGCTGCGGGGGGACCCCGCGCCGGCTCTTGCTGCTGCGGGGGTGGGTGCCAGCGAGCGCCCCAGGGATCTGGTCAGGCTGGTGCATGGGCGCCCATCRCCCGCGCTGTGTGTGCACCCGCACACGGCCCCGCAGCTGCCCTGTCTTGCCATGGGTGTCACCCCTCTCTGCACACGTCCCCAGCGCGCGGTGGCACTCGGGCGTCACTCCGGGGTCCGAGGATGCTGAGCCCCCTCACCCCGGTGCACGAGAGGCAGCGCAGAGCCGGGCGGGAGCAGGGAACATCACCCGCCAGGCCTGGATTGCCGCACTGGGAATGCCCAGGGACAAGCAGCGCATCCCCAGAGACAACCCTCCCCCGGGACAACAGCTGGGAAAGAGCAGGAGCGGGAGAGAAGGAAAGACCAAGAGACGCAGCCCCACGAGAGCCCCCACCCAGCGCCGCTGCTGCCATTGTGGCTGCCCTGCAGTGCTGCCCCCGRCCCCTTTCCGGAGCAGAACCCCCGGCCTCGCGCCTGGCTCCCGGCAAGGTCCTTCCCAGGGAGCTGGCACTGCCAGGGCAGCCAAGGAAACCTGTGGCACAGCAGGGACATCCCCCTTGCTGCTGCCCACTGAGCTCCCTGCACCGAGCCAGGGKCTGGAGACCATGGCCAGGGATGGGGCAGGATGGGCGCTCATGGGTGCCCAAGTCGCCACCCTGCCAGACCCACCAGGACCAGGAGCTCGAGGACCAGCAGAGACCTGGTATGGGGGCCTCTGCAGGCGACGCCAGCGGACAGGACTGGCCATAGCGGACGCGGGGCCAGTAGCCCTGTTGCTCCCATGGAGGTCTGGGTGCAGCGGGCGGGGGACCCTGGGGGTCCTGGTGAGGCAGACAGGGGACATCGTGGGTGCTGGTGCCTCCCCCGGGAGGGGGAGGGATGCAGGTCCCAGGGCAGGAGATGGGGACCCCGGGGGAGGCAGATGAGGATCCAGGGGGTCCCCATGGGGATGTCTCGGACCCTTCCCGGCTCCGCGGGCTCGGGCAGCCCCGCGCATCCCGCCGGGAGTGGCGCCCATCCCCGTCCCGCCCACGCCGGGGCGGCGGCTCCGCTCCAGCCCGGCTCCTACCTGCTCC